TTGAAAGATGCTGGGCTAATCCAAGATTCTTCCTTACCCAAATGGAGAACCTTTGCAAAAGAGACTAGGATGGTCTGTTTCTGTAAACGAGGATGGAGCCAGGATTCTAGAAGTCACCAACTTGGCCAATGATGAGAAATAATAGTGAGTCTTCAGCAACATCTGTAGGGAAAGGTTCCTATCTCGTCTTTGGACATAAGGGAATGAGAGGACCTCTTGTTTTCCAAACGTATGACATCTTCCAATGGATCCATGGGATATTGGAGTTAGGCCAACCAGCAAGGCATGGCTTCCTCTTTGCAGCCATCAAGTTAACTTGAGTGATCTTGAGACCATCAACGCCTCAGATAAAACTGGTGAATGGACTCTAAACTCCGGTCAAAATACGGCATTCCATCCAAATTAGGGGAAGGAACAGCTATACTTAGCTTTGATCTGACTTTATTTTAAATTGGTCAAAATGAATGAAGGCCTACAGGAGACGGTAGGTCCTGGTTAAACCTTGGCTGGTCCAAAAAAACCCAAGCTAGAGTAGACCGACAATCTGTAGATGGGAGACTGCCAGAAAATCCCATGGATGTCTTGATCTGAAAAGTTTGGGTGGATAGGTGGGAACTCTTTCTGGGCAAGATAAACTCCATGCTATTGTCAAGGAGACTACATGGACATGACTTTGAGGGCAATGGGAAAAAGAGTCCAGATGCCCTCTACTGTTCAGTTACAATCTGCGCAACTGACAAAATTATTTCGGCGTAAAGTGGAAAGGGGGGAGGGAATGATAAAATACATTCAGAAAAGGGGTGAAGAATTTCAAGGCAAAAATCTGAACATTATTAACTGGAAAAAGACTTAAAAAAAACCCCACACATTCTTCCAGTTTCTAACTTCTCAGTTCCTGAAGTGTAGTCCAGTGTATCCAGGAGTTCTGATGCATCTGTTCAGGTGTCCTTCTGAAGACCCAAGAAAGAACAACAACTGTTCAGACTTCCAGATATAACCGTAGCTCCTTGGATATGCAGATATTGAAATTAAACCCTGAAAGCATAATATAGAGGATTCTCTTGTTTCCTCCACGCCTCCAATATATGAAGAGAAGAAAGATGATTAAGAGACACCTACTTCAGCAGAAGATCAGGGGCTGTCTCAGCTTATGAACTTGGCTAAGGTCTTCTCAAGATGTCATTATTTTTAGAGACGAGGAATATTAGACATGTTCCTGAATCTCTTTCACACTGTAGAAGTCACCCATTGAGACTTTTCTAGTCCCCTTTTATAAAAGGGTTTACAAGACAGGTCTTTATTCCACTGCACACCATGGATGGATGGATGGATGGATGGATGGATGGATGGATGGATGGAAGGAAGGAAGGAAGGAAGGAAGGAAGGAAGGAAGGAAGGAGCAATAGCAACAGCCCTTAGACCAGTGTTTCTCAACCTTGACCATTTTAAGGCATGTGGACTTCAACTCCCAGATTTCCACAGCCAGCATTGCTGGCTGTGGAATTCTGGGAGTTGAAGTCCACATGCCTTAAAATAGTCAAGGTTGAGAAACACTGCCTTAGACTTATATACTGCTTCACAGTGCTTTACAGCCCTCTTTAAGCAGTTTACAGAGTCAGCCAGTTGCCCTCAACAATCTGGGTCCTCATTTTACCGACCTTGGAAGGATGGAAGGCTGAGTCAACCTTGAGCCGGTCAGGACTGAACTCCAGGCTGTGGGCAGAGTTTGGTAGGGAGAGAGAGAGAGGAAGGAAGGAAGGAAGGAAGGAAGGAAGGAAGGAAGGAAGGAAGGAAGGAAGGAAGGAAGGAAGGAAGGAGCAATCGCGCTAGCAATAGCCCTTAGACTTACATACCACTTCACAGTGCTTTACAGCGCTCTCTAAGCGGCTTACAGAGTCAGCCTCTTGCCCCCAACAATTTCGGTCCTCATTTTACTGACCTCGGAAGGATGGAAGGCTGAATCAACCTTGCGTCAATTAAAAAAATAAATTGCTTGAACATATTGCATTGTTTTTTTTGTAGGAAGCTCTGAAATGAACTAAAAGATGATTAGAAAAGGGCTAGGATTTTGCATGCCTGCAATGCCTAGGATATAGTACTGATTTTTAAATCATTGTTTCTCATAATGCTCATTATTTTATTGTTTTGATGTTAGGAAGCAGAGAGACTGCCGACATTGCAAAGGCCTGGGCACAGATGAAAGGGAGAGGGTGGGTCTTCACAACCATCTTGGTTGTAATCCTGATCAATTCCAGCTAACCAAACCTCCCTTTTTTTAGCCAACACAAAACCCTCTTCGGAGCTCTCTACAGGAGATTCTTGAAAGCTATTGCTGTAGCATCGTGAAAAAAAAAACACGCATGAAAAACAGAAACCAGCAAGGACTACATTTTTAGGAAGTTTGTTTATATCCAAAGCACTTTTTTTTCTGTATTGAGGATGTCAAGCTCCCATTTTAAAAAAGACCATAAAAATAAACTTAAAAGCCTTGAGGCAGAGGTGTCCAACCTTGGCCACTTTAAAACCTGTGGAATTGGGAATTCTGGGAATTGAAGTCCACAGGTCTGAAAGATGGCAAGGTTGGACACCTCTGCCCTCAGCTTAAATAGTCTGAGTTTTCCCTCTTCCCAATTTATTTTCAAACCTCTCTCCGTGAAGAGAAGCTGTTATTATTTTTTTTACAGCCATAAACAAATCCATTATTCTTTCAGAGCGTATCCTCGCAAGCTAAGTCAAACCCATTGACAAGCGAAGTCAACATCGGAGGCCGAGCTGTCCCATTTTAAAACGTTTGAGAAGTTCCACACCTCAGAAGAACTGATACTTCAAAATGCCAACTCCTAAAATTAGCCTCCAGGTCCTTAAAGCGCGTACAAAATGCCCTCGAAATGTGTCAAATAAAATGGGAAGGAAACGGATTAGCTGCAAGGTAAAATAAAGCTGTCATTAATGCTTGAACGAAAACGCCAAAGGAAGAGCATGCCCAAGCAGGTTTTGTTAAAAAACAAATAAGGCACCTATCACCGTTTATTTCATTCTCGGCATAAATATCTACATATATAATTTCACAATAAGAAAGCAAAACACAGTTACATGTGCGTATATTTACAGGAATAATACTATGCCCAAAACAAAACAGTAAAGCGAGGTTAAGACACAACTTGTTTCGGTGGCCTCTGAATTGTTTATAAAAATTCTTAACAGCTGGACATCCCGGGTTCAGACCTAGAGGGAAATATGTAACCCACCCCATTAAAGTCCGCAGGACTTCAGTGCCACTAGCCACCATCAAACTGAGATCTTTGCAAACCGAATCAACTCTTGGGAGTCAGCTCTTCCAACAAAATCAGGGTTTAATTTAAGACGAATGCCTTAAAAAGATGATCGCAAAGACCTTTATTCGTCATAGTTCCTCGGCGGGCTAGCAACAAGAAAAGTGAGGACTGAATGCACTTTAGACCAAGTTGTAACACAATCCCAGTTTTACTCCGCTAGTAAGTAAGCCCCTTTTCCTTTCATATTCCAGCTTAGGTGAATTAAGAAATAAAATTCAACTTGAAGGCAACTTTGTTCCCCATTGTTAAGACTTCTGTGTGTGCAACCTAAAATTTCATTTTCAACAGCCGCCTTGCTAACTTTATGGAGAGCTGCAGAACCAACTTTGCAAACTCACAGTGCCCAAATCACACAAAACAGATCTTCTCCAGTTCTTTGACTAAAGGGGTTCAAAGATGCAGCAAAGGCCATTCTCAAAGGCAGCTTAAAATCAGGGGCAAACAGCCCCCCTCCCACTCATCTCCACATGCTTTTTGAGTGTTTAGGAAAGAAAAATCTGAAATTAAAACAGACACGCACAAAACAAAATAGCTTAATAAACTTCACAGTGTATTATCTTTAAGGTGAGGAAGGCTTGGTTCACACATGACACTAAAGTTGGGTTTAGTGTTAAGCTTTCCAGGGAAGCAGGAAGATGGCGGAGCTGAGAATTGGGATCCTGCACGCTCTTCGTCCTCTGAAGGATCATAGGATTCAAGTCAAGGTTAATTTCATTTTCTGAGACAATGGGCTAATTGTGAATTTCCGTGGACAAGATGGTTTTAAACTAAGATTAGTCAATTTCAAGTTGTGTCAATTTCAAGCCCTGGGCTAATTTGGTAGTTAATTTAACTGAGCAGAGTTTACTTTAAATTAGGACCACTGGCTCAAATGTAATGCCAAAGTACTTCCTGTATACAAAAAAAGACAACATTTTTGATCAGCCAGAGGACAATTGAGTGTGATGACTGAATCCTAGCCCTGACTTTGCCCCAGCTTTATGTGTGAACCAGGTCAGCCTGGGACAACAAGTAAACTAACATTATTTAACAACAGTGCTGACGTTTCCCCAAAACAGTGTGCAGTTTTGCTGCTAGAAAAGGAGGCACTTAAGATTTCCACCCTGTGGTCTTGAAGCGATTAAAACGTTGAAAACATTTTGTTTACCGATATTATGCAGCAGTTTTAAGATGATTTAAAAACGCACGACAACTGGAGAGAGAGGAGAAAGCCACTTTATGTCCCAATCCCAATCATTTTTGCTTAAAAATAAAACGCAATTATTCTCATGAAACATACCTCTGAAACATAGTGTTTACGGCTACAGTCAATGGCAAATATGGCTGCTTTAATTTCAAACAAAGACAAATTTCAAGATCTCTATTTCTGGGTTATGAATCTACCCATTTCCAACTGGTAACACTGATGTACTGGACGTTTGCAACCCGTCATATATATTTGCATGTATTGTAAATTAAAGCAGCCTTTAAATGAGTCCACATCAGAGGTGTTCCAGCTTCCTTCATGTTTGTTTCAGGTCTGCAGATATCAAAGCGTTAAGAGTCCTACAAGACAACTACTAATTTTGCCATCTTGGAAAACAGAAAATCCTTGTTATGGCAAGAAAAGGCATCTTGATGAGAACTTGGCTGCCCTGTGGAAGAGATTCAGGAGATTCCCCACCTCCGAACGAAGGCTAGGAGAAGTGTGCAGCTAGGATAACTCCAAGGATAACAATCAAGACAGTGACACAAATTAGCATGAACATCAGTTTCTGCAAAGAGAGGGGAAACTAGGGTTAGCGCATCCCCCAAATAGTGACACACAGATGTATAAGAACCAAAGAGGCGAGATGTGAATTAACAGAACAACAGAATTCGAAGGCACCTTGGAGGTCTTCTAGTCCAACCCCCTGCTCAGGCAGAAAACCCTATACCATTTCGGACAAATGGTTGTCCAATTTCTTCTTAAAAACCTCCAGTGTTGGAGCACTCACAACTTCTGGAGGCAAGCTGTTCCGCTGGTTAATTGTTCTCACTGTCAGGAAATTTCTCCTTAGTTCTAGGTTGCTTCTCTCCTTGATGAGTTTCCATCCATTGCTTCTTGTCCTGCCTTCAGGCGCTTTGGAGAATAGCTTGACTCCCTCTTCTTTGGGGCAGCCCCTGAGATATTGGAAGACTGCTATCATGCCACCCCACGTCCTTCTTTTCATTAAACTGGACATACCCAATTCTTGCAACCGTTCTTCATGTGTTTTGGCCTCCAGTCCCCTAATCATCTTTGTTGCTCTTCTCTGCACTCCTTCCATTTTAGCATTTTCATCATAACAATACAGAGGCAAGCAATTTCAAGCAAGGAGGAATGGGGTATCCAACTGATCTAAAGAGTCAACTTCTCCCCAAAAGATCTGCTGAAATCTATCTAACATGCCTAGATCAGGAGGGGATTACAGACCGCGATCTTAATCCTCAACCTCCCTTCATCCCATCCTCTTGTATAAACTGATGAAAAACTATCTGTAAAATCCCAAACTTCCATCTTCCTACTAGCCTCCCCCCCCCCCAAAAAAAAGGGCCCCAGGGAAGCAGAGCAAAATCAACTGGATTTTAAGCCCAAGAAATATTGGAATGCAAACCAAAATACTTAGAGCAATTAGCCACTGGAGGTCTAAGACCCTGTTCAAATTCTGCTTTTTTGGTCTCAGAGGAGAGGCTAGGACAGTGGTGGCGAACCTATGGCACGGGTGCCAGAGGCGGCACTCAGAGCCCTCTCTGTGGGCACGCGCGCGGTCGTCCCAGTCCTAGGCCTTCAGCTGGGTTTTATAAAACCTTTTCGCTTTAGGCCTCCACCGCCATGTGCAAAAAAAAAAAGGTTCAATCAATCAGTCAATTTCAATTTCTCGCGGGGAAAAAAAAGATCTCGCAAAGTTGGAATTGATTGATTGAACTTTTTAGTCCCACCCAGTCTGCCGTTACCACTGCAGCCCCGCCCACCCAATGGGCCATACCTACCCAATTGGCCACACCTACCCAATTGGCCACACCCAGCCAATGGGCCACACACCCCGGCACCCGACGATGCATCAGTGGGTTTTGGGTTGCAGTTTGGGCACTTGGTCTCTAAAAGGTTCGCCATCACTGGGCTAGGAAGAAGGCAAGCGTACATACAACATTGCAGCGAGAATACAGATTACGGGTTTAGAAAAAAAAGGTTAACAGGTGAGGCCAGCTAGTCACCATTAGTACTTACTGGAGGTAGCAGAGACAGTTGCTCACGGGCAGTTATCTAAGCATCACGGCACCCCAACAGACAAGCCAATTATTAGAGCCAGTATAGCTAACAGCACCAGCACAATAATGAGAATAATCCATTTTTTCTGCCAAAGGAAAACAAGGCAATTCTCTCGGTTAAGGTGTTGTGTTTTTTTAGTTCTAAATGGAAATTGAGTCAGTTGTCAACAGGCAGAGAGGAACTCGGATACAGCAGCTGGAGCTCAAAATTAGTAAGCATTCCTTGACTTACAACCATTTGTTTAGTGACTGTTCAACATTACAACAAAAATGAGAGACTTACAACCGGTCCTTGAACATCTCCACATTCACCTGATCAAAAGTTGGGCGCTTGGCAACTGGCGCCTCTATTTAAGACAGTGGTTCTCAACCTGTGGGTCGGGACCCCATTTGGGGTCGATCGACCATTTCATGGGGGTCGCCAAGCAAGGCTGTCCGCCATTTTTTTTATCCGCCATTTTTTTTGTCCGCCATTTTTTTCCCCTTTTCCGGCGGGTGCCTTACCTCCCTTGGGCTGGGCCAGCTGGTGGTCGGCCTGCTCCGTCTCTGCCGCTTGCCAGCTACGCCTCGGCCGGCACAGGGGGCGGAACCACGCATGCGCGGTGCTCCCGGGCAGGGAAAGTCCTCCACTTACGACCGGTTGGGTAGTCCTCGACTTACAACCGGTTTAGTCCTCGACTTACAACTGGTTTAGTCCTCGACTTACGACCAGTTTAGTCCTCGACTTACGACCGGTTGGGGTCGCGGCATTAAAAAGGTTGAGAACCACTGATTTAAGATAATTGCATCGTCCCGGGCTCCTGCGATCACTATCTGTGACTTTCCCAGCTGGCTTCCGACAAGGGAAGTCAATGGGGGAAGCTGGATACGCTTAACGACTGCACAGTTCACTTAATAACTGTAGGGATTTGCTTAATAACTGGGGCCGAAAGGGCATCAAATCAGGCACGGCTCCACCTCTTAACAACTGCCATGCTTGGCAAGGCTTAGCCATGCTGACTCCCATTTTGGTTGTAAGTCCAGGACTCTCGGTAACCCTGGAAGGACTGTGGCACGGGAAGGACTGCGTGGCTCGCCAGACAACACACAACATAAAAAAAAAACCGTCCGGAAACAACGGATCAAGGTTTGCCCCACGGGAAGACTTACTCTACGCGCTTTACTTTGGTATTTGACAGCCTTCTTGGTCTCCTCCTTGGCGTGTTCTACGTAGTCCACTGCGTTCATCACGTTCTTTTCGATGCTGTTGACCATTTCGCCCTTTGAGGGGGAAAGCCAGACACACACAACAACAAAGAGCAGAATTTGGCAATTAATGTCACCGATGGAGGAGAATATTTGCAGCTCAGGGTTGAAAGGAGGGGTCCTTGGTGCTCTCTGAGCTTGTTTTCTTGCAGACGTTTCATCACCCTAACTAGGTAACATCATCAGTGCTAAGACTAATCAGCTAGTATTAGCACTGATGCTGTTACCTAGTTAGGGTCATGAAACGTCGGCAAGAAAACAAGCAAATTCTGAGAGCACCCAGGACCCCTGATCAATGTCCCCTTCTGGAATCCTTTCAACAACAACAGAATTGAGATGACACCCATTCAAATCAAGTCAAGGATGGGATGATTACGTGAGGATGACCAACGGTTATGATGGCATTCAAAGAAACAAAGATGGAAATGTTAGGCTGGCTTTATTTTTTTCATTTGAAGGTTGGAAGTTTAACTGGGGAATGCCAGGAAATCACATCAACAAGCAAAAGGAGAGTAAAAACAGAAAGCTGGATTACAAAGATGAGATTTATTTTATTTTGTAGAGCCTGCTCAGGACAGACCTTCTAATAGGGGGTGGAAGGCCACACATCTTCAAAAGTTGCCAAGGTTGGGGGGAAAAAAAATAAAAACGGTCTACGTAGATCCCCAGCTGCAGGAACTAAAATGAAGCCCATTCCAGCCAACAGTACTGAAATCTACCTCTATTAAAATGCTGGTCTATGCCATTAATGTGGGTTTGATGAAGCAATTTGGTGAATGGCGTGGGAAAAAGATGGACATATTACAGAAGAGAATTTACCTGGCACGTTCTATCCATCAGCAGACATAATCAGCAGCAATAAACAGCAAAATGTTTAAAAAGTTTGTTACAACATTCACTTCTAGGCCTTTTTCAAGAAAGGAACTTAAAAGTGTCAGCTCACGAAAATTCAGAGAGCAGGGTGACTTAGTTACGAAAACTAATTTCATCCTGTGGTAAGGATGAAAAACATTCATAAGCACATGGGATAATTTAGATAATGTTTGAAGGAAAGCCTTCTGGGAAAAGAGAATTCGAAACTAATCTTAACACCCCCATAATGGTTTCCAAAGAAATAGTCATAGCCACAAGCGCCCGAGAAATGTTTTTCAAACCAGAAAATATTTAGAATTTTTATCTGATTTACTGCCCCCTAATGCATATGAAAGGGGGGGGGGAAGCATCAAAAGAAGAAAGGTGACACTCATTTTCCTGATGGGCTGGATTTTCATGGAAACTCCTCTCAAATAATTGCGTAATTATTAGCATTATACAAAGACCTACCTGCCCCAGGAAACATCATTTAGTGACTTGGCTTTTATACCTCTAACTATCAAAGTCTCTTGGTAGTTTATATTGAAAACATGAAATGGGCATTACCAAATAAACAGAACCAATATAAAAATTAAACACACCCAATAATTAACAAGAACAGGGTGTTTTTTTTTAAATGATGCTTTAGCAAAACCAGGAAATGAAACAAACAAATCACACTCGCTGTCTTTGATTTCTAGATACCCCACCACTCTTACCCTGATAAGCCACATATAATGACTATTTTTTCCCATATTCAGTTATGAGAGACAGAAGGACTCAACTGAGGGCAAATCAGATGGATGGATGGATGGATGGATGGATGGATGGATGGATGGATGGATGGATGGATGGATGGATGGACAGGCAGGCAGGCAGGCAGGCAGGCAGGCAGATATAGACACACACAGAGAGATGAGACAGAGAGATCAGATATAGATATATAGATATAGATAGATAGGACTCAACTGTGGGCAAATTAAATGGATGGATGGATGGATGGATGGATGGATGGATGGATGGATGGATGGATAGATAGATAGATAGATAGATAGATAGATAGATAGATAGATAGATAGATAGATAGATAGATAGATAGATAGATAGATAGATAGATAGATAG